CCTTTTGAGGATTATCTTTTGCTTAAGGCAACTGAGCATGACTTTGTCTCTTTTCATTTGCTCAAATAACCCAGGCCCTGTAAGTCAGTGGAAAGCCAGGCACTCGGCCTAGCATGCTTTCCTGTTCACAGGATTGTCACTCCTTTGAACTGTCACTGCGTGATATATTTAGGCAAAGATAGACGAACTTTGCAAAACGTTTCTTTCTTTCTTCCTTTCTTTCTTTTAAGAAATCACTTTTTTAACGGACTGAAAATGAACCTAAAACGGGTTTTGCTTTTCCTGCCAGTGTCCATTTTAGTCCTGGTTTTACGTTTATGCCCTGCTGGGCAGTCCTGGTTTTAGTTTTACGTTTAGTCCTGGTTTTAGTTTTATGTTTATGCCCTGCTGGGCAGTGCAGACCATGCCATCTGAGGTATGTAAAAGCCAGTGCTGATGTGATCAGAATTCTGATGGCTTCCTGCTTGCTTCGTTTAGACTCGACCCTGGCTGTGAAGGGCTGGAATCTCCCAAAGCAGCTGTTGCAGGCAGGCTAGTCACACCTTTGTCAGCAATGGCGGTTGTGTAGGCTGCAAGCTTCAGAGTGCTTTTTGTAGGAAGCATGGAGCATCAGCAGGGAAGTTGTACCCATGAATCTTGGAAAATCCTGGGGACTGTTGTTCTGCACTTGGAAAGGGTTGCCAAACACACCAGAAAGGTTACTAAAGCTGGACGCCAATGATGTATGTCTTTCTTTGCCTCCCACTGGTCTGCTTCCTGTCTGAACTGAGCAGATAGATTGGGTGCTGCCATTACTGGGGTCCCTTCCTTCTTGTTGCCAAACTGTTTGAATATTTAGAACAGAGACTCATAAACTGATTTGGTCCATGATCTCCATTCAGATGGAGGGAAGAAGCTGTAGCTCAGTACTAGAGCATGTATTTCGCATGTAGAAGTTCCCAAATCAGAGCCCAGCATTTCCAGATAGGGCTAGAAAGCCTTTTGCCAGAGGGCCATGGCCAGGGAGTACTGACAGTCCTAGGATGAAAAGACCAATGGTTTGACTCCGAACGAGGCAGCTTGCTGTATGGCCCTATGTTAACAGAAAGGCTGTGAACAGTCAGAACTAGTTATACCTGTCTTTGCAACATTTTTTTTCTGACAAGATATATTGACTTCTCAAAACTTTGCTTATAGGAGCAGGCATATCTGTTGTATTAGAGAGGCAAGACTACAGCTATTAAAATATGATTTATGCATGTATAAATTTGTACATTTGTTTTTGATTTGTAGAAGACATTTATCAAATGCTCTGCCAAGATCCTCAGTAATTTTCAAGTGATCTGAAAAAACAAGTTTTGAGAATAGGTGGTTTAGAAGTTTAATAACGTTGCAATTTGTGTTAACTCTCTCTCCATTACACTTCTCCTTAAACCTGAAAAATTGTTTGCCCTAGTATGATTCAATGTTGACCCCTAACTCTACCTTAAACTGTGACTTCTAAATACAGTTCAAATAGAAAGGCCTCTAGCATTTTCTTAAGACTTATATATTGCCAATGATTCAGCATTATTTCACAGCTACAGAATATGTGCCAAAATACTTCTTGTGCTCTCATCATAAACATTTAATGCATGAACAATCAATTTACAATGTGCTCTTGTACTTAAGGATGGATATTGACAAGTAGAACAGGGAGCCAGAGAAGGGCAACCAGGACAGAAGGGGCTGAAAATAAAGTACTACAGTTGAAAAAGCTGATATGTATAGCCAGGAAAAAATAAGAAGACAGAGCTTTTAAATATCTTAAAGGTCTGGCATGAAGAAAGTAGACTAGCCTTTCTTAAATGTTATAAAGGACAGGACATAAAACAGTGGGTGGAAATTGTAGGAGAGAAACTTTAATACAGTAAGAGCTGTTTGGCAGAAGAACAAACTGCCTTGGGTTGTGGTGGGTTCTCCTTTTCTGGATGTACTTAAGAAGAGGCTAGAAAGAGTTGAATCCTGCATTGCAAACCTTGCATTAATCAGGAGGTTGGATTTGATGATCTCCACAGTCTCTTCCAATGCTTCCTAAGAGCACATTAGGACCTTTCATTAGGACCTCTATCTCCAGGCAATGGGATGCCTAGAAGTGACAATTTGTATTCTTGGTGGTCACTTAATTCCCTAGAGAGAAACTTTATTTGGTCGCTTATTCTCACTTAACAGATACTAAGGTTCTTTAAAAAATGCATAGCACCTACAAAAATGGAGTTTACAGTTATGTAGCACATGTTCTCAGAGGGAATGGGGGTGATGAACCTATAATAATTATTATTTAGTTTTTCATAAGGTTCCTCTACAAGAGCTAGCTGTGGTCCTTTGCATTTTGGGAACACAAGTAAGAAGACAGCAATACAACAAAATGTGCATGGAAATGCAGTGTCTCACTGCTTTTTCAACTGCCTCTCAGCTAGGGTGCTACAAACATTCTCCACTCAAAAGACATAACTTGAAAGTGACGAAATTCTTACTCTGACCATCTCAGACTACCCTTTGGGAAAACACTTTTTCCTTAAAAGTGAATCCAATATTTCTGCTTGGGTTTTCTTCAGTTTTAATTGGAGGCCTTATCAAATTATTTCCCTCTGAATAGTCATTTTAGTTATGGATGACCCGTTGCTTTCTGACAGTGAGAATAAGTTCTTATCAAGAACAAAGTAGGAAGGCAATACCAGCAAAATAGTATTTCAAAGGTCAAGCCAGTGATCCACCGTACAATGTAATATTTTTGTCTCATCCTGAACAATGTGAAGAATATTTTTGTAAACAGCAGTAAGTAATACTTCTGCTGAGTATCTTAGAAGTAGTCCTATGTGCATTTAAACAGAAAAAAGGCCTACAACTCTCAGCTTACTACAGCCAGTCAGTTTGTTCACACACTGGTGTGCATGTTACACACCATGCAATACCACTCTTGAAACAGCTGCACTGGTTTTCAGGGTGTTTTGAGCTAAATTCAAGGTGCTGGTTCTTATCCATAAAGCCCTAAAGCATTTCAGGCCAGGTTAACTGAAAGACCTGTTTTCTATGTTTGTCTCAAATTTGTGCTCATTATCTTTGGCTCTGTTTCATGTCCCCTCTCCTCATGAGGTGAGATTGATAGGCACTTGTAACAGGGCCTTTTGTGCAGAACCTTTTGCCCATGTGTGGACTGCCCAATCCAAGGATGTTAGGTTAGCCTCTTCCTCATTTTTAGATGGTTTATGGCATGAGACCTCAAACTACGGCCCGGGGGCCAGATCTGGCCTGCCATACCCATTTATCTGGCCTGCCATGCCCATTTGGATCTGCTGCGCACACACCCATTCCTGCGCGCGCGCCTGTCTGCCACCGCCCACCTTACCCTGCACGTGGGGAGGCAGCAGTTTGCTCACTTGGAGAAAACGATCTCCAGATGAGCAAGCTGCTGCCTCATGTGCCCGCCTTGTGGTGCATGCCCACCCCTGCCCACGCCCCGCCCCTGTCTCAGTGCCAACCCGTACACACCGCTGGCACCACCTTTCCGGCCCACTGGCACCTTTCAACTGGCCCCCTGGTTAAAGTTTGAGGACCCCTGGTTTATGGAATTTCCTTCCAGGCTCCATCTATAGGAACAAAGATGGAGCCTCAGGATATGTGAATGAGTCCCTGGCTTGTTAATCAAATGCACAGCATTGCCTGCATGGGGAAGTTACAGTGTAACCAAGATCAACTCTCTAATTGGCCAGTATGCCCCACATGCCTCTTGTTAGTGCTTCCTGGCAATGGATACTGTTGTAACAGTATCCACCAGCTGCTTCTCCACTGGCTATCTAAATGCTAAGTACTCTACTTGCTATCAAAATGGAATTTTTACCTTACTGTTAAAAGAAACATTGAAACCTGTTAAACTCTTTAACTTTTGTTTTATTTTTAATCTGTTACTCAAGCACCTGATGTGTCATGTTTTCCTGATAATTTCTCAATGTTCCTGCATTGTCCTTGTGTGCTTCTATATTGTTCTTGTATATCATCCATTCAAAGACTCATTCCCCTCCCTGCATTGCATATGTGACACCAACTCCATAAAAAACTCTGTATATAGTCTGCTTTTTTTGCAGTCAGTCTTAAACTGGCTCCCATTGAGTGCTATTGTATTTAGGAATACCTGTTTGCTGTTAATCAACTGCTGAATGTTTGAGTGTACAGCTCCCCTTGGATCTGGACATTCATTCCTTGCAGGTCTGAAATCCTGACAACATTCACAGTTTGGGAGTGCTCTTGAATGCACTGTCATTAAAAGCACAAATGGACTTGGTGACATGGAACATCTTTTATCAGTTCAGCTTGATATACCAGTTACAACCTTATCTGGACCATGATAGCTTGCTTGCTGCTAACCTCTCTTCTGGGTTGTGTCGGGCTGCTGATAAGAAGATAAGAACTATACAGGATCAGTCCATTTTATCCAGCATTCTCTTCACACAGTGGCATGCCACTACAGATGGGGTCTCAAAACAGGGCACGAGTGCAACAGCACCCATGCACCAAGGTAACCTAACAACTGGTGCGAGGTCAGTCTCTCAGGTCAGTCTTGCAACCTCAGGGTCATAGCCACACTGTTCTTTTTGTGCTGGCTGGGAGGATACTCTTACTTCGGAGTCTTAGCTGAAACCTTAGCATGTATTTCTGAGGTCTGAGCTGGGACTCTCCTACGGCCATCTACAATAAGGATTGCATCCTTATTGTATTTTAAACTGCACTGCTGGTAGGTTTTACTTTGTTTTTTCTGATATTTCATACTGTGGTGCTAAACATTCATAGTGTAGCTTATGGCGTATTTGGAGGTTTTAATTATTGTGAACTACCCAGTCAGCTTTGGCTATTGAGTGATATAAAACTGTAATAAGAAATGAGTATGTGTGCTGGCAGATTAGACTCATGGGAGAGTTTTCATGTGGATTGTGTTACCCATTTCATTGTGAGTCAACAAAATAATAAAGTAACAAAGACAGCAATTTCTTTCTTTCTTTTTAATTTTCCTTCATATTCAAACTTCACAAACAGTGTGAACTTGTACAATACCTCAGAAAGTGAAACTTACAAAAAAAGTGCTGGTAACATTAAAAAAAAGAAAAAGAAAAAAGAAAAACCCAAAATAACAAACATCATTCTTAGCAACATCGATTACTCTTCCACACAAAACAGAAACCTTGTAAAATTTATTTCCGTATCTTTAAGGCGTAATACTTCTGTATAAAGTATATGCAAGAGATAAAACTTCACAGTATTCCAAAATGTCACAATAATAATATAGTATAATGAAGCGCTACAGTTAATTTTCTTTTTTTCCTTTTTTCTGTTTTAAATAACAAATACAAGTCACAGGTAAATATACGTGAGAAAAATACGAGGCTAATATTAAATGGCAGGTAAGGATACTCTCACTGTAAGAAAAAACTGGCAGGATGTGTGTAGTTATTCTATATTTTAAAGCACTTGATAGAAAAGGCGTATGCAAGGATTTTTAGAACAATTCTCAGTTTACTTGCTTTATAACTGACATAACATTTACAGAGTAAAATGAGAGAAAAAAAAGGAACTCAATATTCCCTCAAAACTTTTGACCTGCTCATCTCATATTCTTAAACCGTGTTGCACTGTATAAGGGTGTGTTTTATGTGTATGTATAAGTACACTTACAGCTACTACAACACACTTTGGACTAGGCAGAAAAATATTTCCTGCTCAGGAAAAGCATCTTTGCCCAAAGGGACCTTTTCTTGAAGCCTTTACATGTGGAAATCAGTATTGTTTTTGTGTAAAGACTGCAAGATTAGTTTTCAATATAGTTTTTCCCATTCACTCAGTTATTGATGATTTGGGGGGCATTTCCTTGCCCATTGTATGAAAGTACCCAATCCACAGACATATAGGAATTCTAATGCTATTTTTTCTATAAAGCAAAGAGATAGGTAACTATCAGAATCATAGCACTGGAATCATATCTAGTAAGTTATATAGCCAAACTCCTCAAAGTGATGTACTGAGGAATGGGAAAACACAGATGGAAGTCCATCCTTAGAAATATCACTGGTGTGTGTTTGCATGTGTGCAAGTGTATATGCATTGTATGATGGCTTGTGTATGTCAAATATTCTGGGCACAACACAAAGCCATATATTGTTCCTGCACACATTTGTATATGTTAACAGCCAGCCATTCAGCTAACAGGTAACAAAAAGACAGCAGATAGCATAACACATCAATAAGGTGCTCAAAGGAAAAAAGGTGGCTACCACTCTTGGAATGGGAAGCCACATTAAGGTGCTTCAAAAGGGTTTTTTTAATGTTTAGTTTAGAAAAGTACAGAGTTTTGCACATGGTGATTCAGAGCAAGGCCAAAAGTTAAGAGATTTCTGACATCTTCCATAAATAAGGACTTCTTGTTACAGATTTTGTTGTTATTGTTTTGTTGGGTGGGCCAATAAACACAAGAAAAAACTAATCCAAAAGTGCAGAACCTGATCTGTGTCATTTAGATTGTAATATTTTTGCCCAATCATTCAGTTACTTTTATTTAGCACCGTTCCTTTTTCTTCTGGTTACAATCTGTTCCTGCTGTAGTTATTGAACATACAGAAAGGACCAAAGTCACTTGCAAGTAGCTGTTTGTATTTGTGATATGTTTCAAGAGTCCAACAATTAATTCCTCTGCTGCTTCTATGTTTGTGTGAGATCTGGTTTTGTGGCTGTGAAAAGAGAAGCTAATCTCCTTCCACAGTTCAGGCTTTGTGTACATGTGTGAATACAGATCTGTAACACATCATACACGAGAGTATATTTTAACTGGAGATAAAGTGAACTGGGTTCAGACTTTAGTGCACTATCTTTCCCTTGTGCATTTGAAACAGTCTCCGATTATTTAAAGTGCATTTAACATGAAATAAACTGGGCATTCACTTGCCCTTTGGAAAACACTTCAGAAGTGAAAATGTCTGACATGTGTAGATTTAGTAATGCCAACAGCAAATGGGTAATAGCAAAATCAAATAGGTAATTGTTCTCAGGCAAAAGTCTTTTCCAATGTAGCAACACCATGTGCGACACAAAAAAGGTGGAAGGGATTTGTTTTGAATTTTGACATGTCAGCTTTTAAAAAGTAAATTTGGAGTAAATTGTACAGCGCTTAAGTGACTTCTCCCCCTTTATCTTTGCCCCATGGCACATTTGGAGTTCCACTGTGTTTTAAAGGAGAATCTTGTGTCTGCAAGGGATGTGTGTTTGTGTGTTTATGTGCCAATATCTATTAGAAATAAGGCACTGTGGAAATCTCAACATCCCCTTTCCGTCCATGCTGAGATAAAGCATGCAATAGATTTTATTCTTCTATATTTTACATGTGTCAAAACAAGATCTTGGAAAAGGGATATAATCTTTTGACTTATCAGCACCAAAGAGCTCTAGATCAGCACCCTTTGCTCTACACACATGCACACATACAGTCAAATAGGGAGTATATAGATGGTTTTAGATATTAATGAAACCTTGGCATAAAAGTATTTCTACTACTATTGGATATCTCTGTTAAACAGGGAGAATACAGATACTTTTAGTGACTAAAAAGACTTATGGGTAAAAGTACTTTAACTACTATTGGATACCTTTGTAAGCTTTTAAGTTATTGCACAGGAGAAACTTTATTGGATTGTCTGTTAAGTCAAAGTATTTTTCTTCCCAAATTTAGATTTTGGGATCATATGCCAGGTTTGCAGCAGTAATGAGGCAGCTTATATACCCCTCCACCTCCAAGGTCCACCATGAGATTTTAATTGCTTCCTCTCAAACCATTCCCTGATCAGCAAGGATTGCCCTTTGATTTTTGTTACCCATTCACAAACACGAGATAACTAGGAAAGCATAGAGTGTAGCAGAAGAGTATAGAAGGAAAGCAAAGAGGGACAAAACTGGGCTGGATTAAAGTAAGGGAAGCACAAAACTGTGAAGTCTAAATATGTTTGATCTCTAGGCTAGTGGAATAACTTCAGGGTAAATAAATACTTGAGTGAAAACCCCCCAGAAAATATTGGCAAAAGGACCATTGCCACTTTTAGCAGGGTAAGTCTTATAAGGCCACAAACTGGACAAAAGGTGTGAAGTCCAAGTATGTACTTTTCACTGGGAAATGGGAGCAGAAATGCCTCAAGCCCTTTAGTGTTAGTTTTGGATAAGTTGAGTAGTGTGCACAGCGGTTAGGGAAGATGCTTCTCTGGGAAGACCTAGACATGGATATGAAGAGGGCGTTAATTACCAGAGCTTTCACAAATCAGTCTGTGGGGTGGTAGTAGAACTTCTGAGAGCCTCCTGTGTCTCTTTTACATAGAACTTAAAGGAAGGGCAGGAGGTTAGTTTTATTACACAACAGAAAAAGAAGGCACATGATTTTACTCAGTCTTGGCTGAACTCAGGTTTTGCTGGAAGGTGGAAAAGTTATCATGCAAGCAGATGTTCACAGAAGAGAATTCTGGAATGGACAGAACAATGGCAAGAGACCAAAGAAGTCAGTTTAGGAGCAGAAAGGGAAGTGAAAGCGAAATTAAGACCACTCTTCAGCTTTCTATTTGCTTGTCATGCTCAAGATTTGGCAGTGTTCTGTGTCAAGAAAGGAAAAGATTTTGCTTGGCCTTGAACATAGCCCAGTTACATATCTCCAGTTTTTGGTGTTATGACTGTTGGTGTCTCCCTGTTCCCTTCCTTCCCACCCAAGGAGCATTTAAAGCACAGCTGTAGGATTCCTAGTTTAACCAGTCCCATTTATTTCTTCAAACACTGACAAGGTATGAAGATATTATTGACTGCAAATAAAGAAATTATTCACAATCCTTTGCCTACTTACTTTAAACAGAAAGCCTGCTTCTAAAGCTTGGCATGGTCCCATCAGTCACTAACTGCCTGCGAAGATGGGCCTGGTGCTTGAAATAGCTTTTCTCCCTTTATTATGAAACAATTTGTATTCATTCTAACATCCAGGAATTTAGATGGCTTGTCTGGTCACAAAGTCTTAGATGGCTGTACCAGAAAGTATTGGGACATGTAATGGTGTGAATCCATCATGGAAGCCTCCTTATTAGAAAATACAAACCAGGAAGGAGGAGAGACACGTCTGCAGTGATTATGCAGAGCAGATGTAAAAACTTTTTTGACCTTTGGTATTTTCCCCCTTAGACTTTGACTTGAAGGTTCATGGGTTGCCTGTACATCTAACTATTGTATTCTCCTTAGCTTTAAGGTAGAAGGAGGAGAAATGGGATTGCCAACAGCTTGTTGAAGACACAGGGGTAGTACACAAAGTCACAGTCCAGTGTTTTAGACATTTCATAAATAGCTTAAAAAAAATAAAACAAGAACAATCCCTTTACTTCCTCATCTGAAACAAAATAAACAGCAGTGGATACAAACTTCTTGTAACAATTACAAAAGAAAACAACAATACAATCCCCCAACTTTAACACATCTTTTTTTTTTAACTCAAGACTGCAGCATATCCTTAAGGGCAAACTTTTCGATTATTTTTTCTTTCTTTTCTTTTTTTAAATAATGTTTTCACCAAAAAAATCCACAAAACAGTCTTGTACCAAGAAAATGCATTCAAAAATAGAAAATATTACACAACAAAAATATGTACCCTTCCTTTCCAAAAAGAGTCTTCACAAAAATGTAGAAAAGATTCCAACCATTTGTTGCTTTCCTAAACATGTAACCTTCAACCTAGGGCACAAATATTTATTGATTTAATTTTTGCATAAAACATGGAAGATATAAACCAACTATTAAGATTGTGTAGTTAAAAACAGCTGACTTCCCCACTCTGTTCCACCCATTCTTAGAGGAACAAAGTTTTTCTTAAAGCCAATGATTAAACATATTTGTGAACCAATGGGCTATGACATCATTGTTAGGACCCAGATACAGTGACATGAGGGGAAAACTGTCTTTCAAAATAGCAGTTTGTATTTATTATTTTAATGTCTAGCAACCTTACTGTACTCATTTGAGAGAAACAAAGAAGAAAAAGGGTGATCAGGATTAATGGTTTACAGAGAGAACCATTGAAACTCTGTAACCATAACTGAAACAATCAAAAGGGCATTTCCATATAACCTGAAAGTGCAAGAGACAAGGGATCTTTTCTGGATCACAGTAGTCAAATACCAGGAAGTCCATTTTCCATCAAGGACTGAAACTTAAATTAAAATCATCATCACTTCATAGAAGGATACCTGATACTTGATAAACGAAAGTGGGATGCAAGAGAAGGGAGTCATTTCTACAACAGGTTTTACCTAGACTAAGAAGCCTCTAGTGGATATCAGGTAATACTGCACCTTACCCTATTGTAATTAAAATGGCTCTGTTGAGTCTGGTAAAATTGAGATGTCTGATTGGAAACTAACATTTATAAACAGTTTTGCACCACCTCATGTCACTCACATACTATCTGATTTATGCCTTTTTATACTACCACTGTATTTTAAATAACTTCTGGTTTTTATTATTGAATATATGCTGGTTCTGTCACTGCAAACCTCCAGGAACAGGATGGTAGGGTCAGGACTAATAAGACTGTCCAAAATATAGGGGTCATATTTTTAGCCTTTCGTGCTTTGGATGTTTTGCAAATTAGGCATACAAAAATGAAAAAGGGAGGTTGTTTTGTTTGTTCCTTAAGTGCGCATTTTCCTTTTTAAAACTTAAATATTTTCTAATTTATTTCCAGTGCATCTCCCCACTAACCCAACAGAATGACTATTTCACTCATCCTTTAAAAAGAAAATCCCAGATTTATAAAGATACAATACTATAAAATCAGATATTTAAAAAGAGAACACAGTGTGCAAAAGCAAAGCCAAAAAACCAAGAACAATTGTAAAGACATAGCAAGAATGAGCTAAGAAAGCTCTTCAATCCTCCACTAATGGGTGATTTGTAAGCATTGGTTAATAAATGGGTAAGGCTATTTGAACAATTCTGTTTTAGCATAGTTAACAACAGTTCCCCTGCTTCCTGCTCATTTAGTGTTTCAGATTTTCATTTTTTATTCACTGACCTTTTAGCTTTTAAAATTAAAATGAAGAACTTTTTTTGGTCTACAGTAGAATTACATATGAACAAAAATAACAGAAAACAGGAAACATTTTACCAGTAGATATATACTATCCTATCTATGTGGAAGTAGAACAAATGGACTAAGTTGAACAACAGACATATTCAAGAGCATAACCATCTTGGAACAAAGGCCATGGATTGTATGAAGTCCTATACTGAGCCTGGTTTCTGCTACAATCCTAGAGAGTTCTAAAGTTTTGTCAAATCTCAGTCTGGCCACTTTTTAAAAACTGAAACAAATGCCCTCTACTGATCACTTAAATATGCCACTTTAATATGAAATAAAAAAAATCAAGCAAGAAATGTCTTTTGAGACAAAAAAAAAAGAGTTTTAGATTTTGGAATACATTCTGAATCTTGGGCATTTAGGGATAGCTCTTCAAGATCTGTATTCAGGTTATGCTTATTCTAGACACTATGAGTGACTAAGACATCTTGGCCTTTTCTTTAAAGAAAGAAATACATAATCAGTGCAAGGGAATGGTCTGGAAAGAGATGTAATGCCATTTTACAACTGCTATCATTTTTTTTGAAAAATTGGATTCATTGCTGTTAAGATAGAATTACAGGTATTCAATCAATTCTAGGATAACTGGTTAGTGAAGAAATATATTCTTAGAAGGCTAATTAGACAGGTTTATGCCTCATCACCTCTAGCAATTGCTGTGCAGTTTTCATTGCTTTGAAATGTCTAGAACATAACAGTATAGTGCATGACAATGAAGGTAGCAAATACAAAATAAGAACAAAGCTATGCCACCCATTTCAGGTGAAACAAAACTGTCCCAATACTTCATCAACTACCTAGAAAAGGACGTGGATAATTCACATGTAAGCTTCTTGTTTTGCTTAAATCTATTTCCTTGGAGCTGAGTGGAAATACTGAACTGGTTAAGGAGGAAAAACAGGAAGATGACTGAAACAGGGCAATTACATCAAAATGTTCCAATGTTTCTTCTCAGTAATATAGATTGATATTTGTTCTTTGCTAGAGCTTGAAACTCTTTCCCCACTGAACTGGATTAAATCAGTGATCCCCCTTTCAAAGTTTATGAAGTCACAATGAAATTACAGAAAAGAGAAATAGAAATTTTTGAAAGGAATGATTAACTCATATTAACAAAAGCCTAGACTATATATTCTTGATTCCAGACCAATATAGCCTTATTTAAGCTGACAGCCAGACCATGACCCTCCTGAACTGTATAATCTAAAATGCTGACAATCTCTCCTATTCCCAAAAGCAATTCAGAGATGACTATGAGGATTGTCTGATTAGATAAAAGTATTGCAAGATAGCACAAAATCCAGATAATTTCCTCCCTCTGCTTCTTGATCAATATGTTTATAATTTATTGTCAAGCATCTCTATATTTTATTATCAAAGCTGTTACTATTGTTGAACTATTTTTTAACCATTTGATAGACTAGGACTCAAATTTCATGCTTATACTGGAAGTAGCAAAGAGCACCACACAGGGCAAGTGTGTCTTGAGTCTTAATTCCAACCAAACGATGCTAATATAGTTGGAGTACTTGCCCTGGTAGCCTCATTCTCTTTCTTTGTTAGCCTTTTTAATGGCATTTGCTAGTATTATGTTGTTAATAACACGTTATGCTACTTCTGCTAGACCAATCCGATCCCACAATGTACAATTGGGTCTGGAAAGTTCTTGAGCTTTTCACTGTTCTTCTGGTGCATCGATGTTGCCCTAGCCAGAGAAATAATGGCCAGACATCCAAAGTTGGCAAACAGTGCAATTTTCTTGGGAGGCCATAGCAGAATCCTTTTATTAATATCCAAGTCTGAGATGAATACAGAGGATCAGTTACTGAGTGATTAACTTTCGACACTGTGCTTATAATCTCTTGGTAAGCCAACCATTTATAGCATTTTGACAGTTAGGGAAATTTTTATTACTCTCATCTTCTTGGATTTCTAATTGGGTGTGGATATGTGGAAAATTTATCAGCACTTGGCAGAACGTGAAATGTAAATGTCTTATTAGTGGTTATTTGTACACAAGTTGCTACTTTGTATGTAATTGTGTTCATCTTGACTGATCCTGTTTATCCTATTTGAGTTTGAAAGTAAATTTTAAGCCAGGTCAGATTAACCAATAGCCCTGCGAAGTTTTTTCCCTTTCACTAGCAAATGTGACTTGTTTTAATTACTTGAATCATCTGAAGCTATCAATTGTGCACACACCTTCTGTCTGCTTGTGTGACACACTGTGGTCTACATTGCATAGGAGGATCTGTGAGATACTGCTTGTTGGCTAGTTCTGCCTTTTGGGAAAAAGGGTAGTTTTTTGGTCTCTTCCAGCAGTTCCAACACTAACTAAAAAGTCCTTTTAAGTTTTTCTGACCAGTAATTCTTTAGAAATGTTAAACACCTGGAAGCCATTTTCTACAGAATACCTCTTAAGTTTCTGCTACAATACTATTTTGTTCAATATTGATAGCAAGGATATCTATAAAATATTTCACTTCCGTTGAAAAATGGCCATCTTCTCCACTTGAGTTTAGGCTAAGCTATTAGTGTCTGTAAATGCAGATTGTTAAGGAGTAGTTTTTTTTTCTATCTTGCTAGATGAGATGGATCTGAATCAGATGCTTGCTCCTCCCCATTTCTCTGCCCTTTCCTTTCTCCTTTATGTTACCTTTACATAGGCCTTCTGATCCCATAAATTCATTTCAGTAGTGCAATACAATGCAGTCTTAGTGCAAAAATAAAAAGCCTTATCCAGAAGTAAGGAAAATGCTTCCCTCCCTCCCCCCAAGTACTACAAATACTCAGACTAAAGCAGGGATTGCAGTCTCCCAGCTTCTCTGTTATACAGCTCAACTTAATTCCTATTTCTTTCTACTCAACCCATGGTCATCATTCCATCTTCTTTCTACAGTAATTTTAGAAGAAGCCCCTTTATTTTAGAGATGGAAAATGTATGAAGCATAGGAAGACATCATAAAGGAGTGCCACATGGATGGGAGAGCTGAGTGGATAAAGCAAAGCTCAGTAGTGGTTCTATTAGATGGCTCCACTGCAATGGGTGTATATATGATATATAAGTCTTCTGTTCCCAAAACACATGTTTACATAGCCCATTCTAAGGTTCTACAGTGCAAACAACTCCTTAAAACAGCAATTCTCAGTAGATATCCTTAAACAAGCAAATCAAAACGAACCTTGCTTACAGAACTCTCTTAGGTCAGAACTACATATTAATTAAATACATGGCTTGCAGTTGCATTCTTTTTCCAAAATAGGAATTATAAAGACCCCCTCAAAATGAATTGGGACTGTGGTAGATGTGGAGTGGAGGTTAAGTCTTCTTCCCATGCACAGTCCCATGCAAGATGCTCCCTTGTCCCTGCTTTGTTTACTGTGGGAAGGAAGCCATGTTTGGCACAAAGAGAAACTTCCCTCCTAGGGCAAACAGTTGCTGGATGGTATTCATGAGGACTGTAGCATGGGACGGAATTCTCCTTCACTGATGCTGCAGTACTTATACATATTGGGTACCCCATGGATCCTATAGAAAATAAAGATGCAAGTGCAAGCAATGCATTTAAAATTATACGCATCACATGAATTTTTGAAGGCCCTTTTCAGGATTGCAGTGTCAGGAGTGTAGATTAGGAAAACAAAAATCCAAAAGAAAACTACAATGTAACATAAAACATACCAGTGGATTAGAAGGTCCTTCTTAATTTCCTGTTCACTTTAAAGAAAAGAAAGTTAGAAGTTTTTGTGGGATTTTCAGTAGCACATTACTTTGAAAAACACAGAAAAAGTCTACAGTTTGGAGACTGTTTCCAGAATTTAAAATAAGATATTTCAGAAATAAGTTTCTAAAACCTATATGGCCTGCCATGAAAGGAATTATTTCAATGATAAAAGAAAATGTACTGTTAATAATGAACTAATTGGTACATATTTTGCAAATAAAGGATGAATTTCTCATTCCTAGTTAAATATTTTCATGAATTCTATGCATGATTATTGCTGTAGAATTATTTTAAATATTTTTTTCCTGATTCTGAAATCAACGAGAACTTCCTAATCTTTTAAACATATTCTGCTCCTTTCTAATGAAATGAGTAAAAAGATTCAAAGTGAATAATTGGGTCAGATAAAAGGAAAAGGCAAAATCTGAGCTGGAACAATAAAAATGGGATGCAGGTTATTGGAGGGCAGCTTCAAATGTTTCCTGCATGCAGAGCTTCTGGAAAAATACTCAAGCCTGTACTTTGATGTTGAAATCTGAAAAAATTCTTACGCCTTAGGAATCAGCAAGCTATTTTTAAAAATGGAAGAGGTTTAATAAGAGCTTATTCCAATCATTGTCAAATCTGTTTTACAGTGGAGAGCTTTTGAATAATTTACTTAGCAGCATTAATTTCAGGTTGGACTCTGTTTAGTGTGTTTTTCATCCTTCAACCAATTAACCATTAATTAACAGTGAGTTCCAAAGAATCTTGTGTGCAGAGTATTTCCACAAACACTAGATATTTCCCTGGATTTTTACTTCTAATTGTAATCTCTCCTCTAACCGGTTCTTCAGTGTTCAGGAGTGCAAGCAATAATATCTTAAATGAAACTCAGTGGGCCAACGTGATCCTACCACAGCCATAGTGCTTACACATGCACCTACTTAGTTAACTTTTTATGATGGGGTATGCTATCATTATAACCTTTTTCATCTGACGGGAAAAAAAAGTGTCAGCTCCTTAACATGCAATTCTAATATGTACCCAGAAGTAAGTTCTGGTGACTAAATCCTATAGAGGGACTTTCTCCCAGATACTTGTCTAGAATTGTAATCAAAATGGCAAATTTGAGCTCCAAGATGAACTTTGTAGAACATTTATTTGGGTTTCATTTCTGACTGTTTCTCTTTTAAGACTGTTTAATCCCACATTACATAGTGAATGTCTTTATGTAAAACAATTGTAGATGCTTAAACAGTCCAAAATTTAGAATATCTAGTTTATTTCCTCATTTGCTTTAAATTATTAAAATATTAATAATTAAAACCTTGCAGCAAGAATGAAGAATTTAGGTGACAAAAGAGAAGTACAACTTCCTCTGGTTCTTTCCCACCTATAACAGATTTTAAAATGAACATCTGGATGATAAATTTATTTTTACTCTTATTTCTGATTCTTTAATGTAATGATATTACAAAGCAGTTCACTCTAATTCACCCTAGCCTTCAGTCTTAACAGCATAAACTAGTGGGGGGAAACCCAGCAAAATGTATCTGTTTGAATAGAATGGCTTGTGTTCAGAATAAATGGCATGTAAGTTTAGCTTAAACAACTCTTGTATACACATGGTGGGTAATACCACATTTTAGGCATACATGTGCACACTACCCATTACTTTTAAACAACATGGGGAGGGATTTCAAACACAGAGGGAAACAGTGCCTAATCTTTTCTCAAGCTAAATCACACAGTAAAGCACACATGCATACGAAACTTTGCAAGGATTTTTTGTGGTAGTGGTGGTGGTGGAGGGTGATTTAGAGTAGGAAAAAGATTAACATGCCTCCTCTTTTCCTTCCACTACTCCACTTTACATTTTCCTTCTCTCAAATAATCTTTTTTTGTTTTAATGATAAATGCCAGTCAAAGACCCATATTGTACATGGGCTCCTTTCTTCACAGAATGCTTGTATCTTGTTTCCAATTTATCCCTTAATCATGTAAACAAGCCTGAGATTAAAATATTAAGGCTTATTATTTAAAAAGCCCAATAGTGTTATCACCATTTTTGTTTAGATGACTTACCATATAAAACAGAAGTCAGCAAAACTAATTTTTGAGTAACATTAACAATCTACCCTATTTTACAAGGAAAGTTTGCTAACTTTCCAACTTAACATTGTCACAGAAACAGCATCTATATACAAAGGCAGAGAAGTCTAAAAACAAGCACCTGATTGTGCCACTGATAAGTGGCTTTTGATTTCATGTCAGAAAGCAACCTGTGCAGGGTAATTTTATGATTGATGAACCATTTTCTACTGATTGTATACTGGCTAAAATGAGAAAGAAATCCAAAGCACATGCAGAGAGACACTTTTTCTGTTAAGACAAGAAAGGAATCAAAAGTTTAAAATGATTTCTGATTCATAGGTTGAAACTAAATACAAACATGGTTGAAGAAATGCCTAAACATCAGTGATCATCTTCCACTCTTAACGTGTACTGGTAACAAAGCAGAGAATTCCCTTGTATTCAGTGCAAGCTGTTATTGCTCTCATTCTTTGGTGAATTGCCCCATTTTGGTGAAAGGGTTTCAGTGAAAAAAATTGCTTTGTTTTATTAACGTTTATATAGTCCACTACAGTTAAGGGTCTACATGAGGTGTGTCTGTGTCTTAAGCTTGTACACCTGCCCTATAATATACAGAACACCACACAAGCAAACTTCTTGTCCATATGATTTGCTAATCCTATTTTTATAGTGAATGGATTGTGCATCACATACATGCACCAAGTCCTATACTCCACTGCATATAAAGCCAAGTTTTTGGGGATAAGCACACTGGTCCTTATTCAGTCACATGTAAAAACCTGGAAGAAATTTTGCTTCCTTTAATGATTCTTTAATGTTATGTCCAAACTACCTCCCCCACTCTCTCTATATATTAAAATGACAGAGTTTGCTTAATTAAAAACTATGTGTTAACAGAAATATAAATTTACAACATACATTGCATCCAATAAAGCTAAATCAATCAATCAAAGATAGAAAAGAATTAATGACTGATGTACTAACATGAATTAAGCAAGGCTTGTCTGCATCTAGACTTGCTAATATATATATTAAACTGTATAAATTAAAATAAATCCACTAAGCCTGCACTGTGCTAAGAGCAAAAAGTAACAAAGTAGTTGGTTTAAAGGGTTTCTTAGATTATCATGAGTTCTCTGTGTGTATATATAGTTTTTCTGAGAATAATAATATACTGCTGTGAAAAGCGAGGCTTTCAGTTAATCATTGACTATGTTAGAGATGCTTGTTAAAGTAGTTTTCACCAATCAGTTATTTTGTTAGTTTCACTTTCTTCTACACAACTGTCCCATGAACACACTTATAATGTGAACATGCAATTTCTAGTGGAGAATATGTACAAATTTGGTACCATCTGGTTTGTGAGATTACTCTTTACATAAGAAATATAAGCAGCAAATTATATACATGTGAAATAAACATGTAAAATAAGAAGCACAAAGGCTTAAAAAAGCATTTTAAGGCAACAAGGCCACATCAACAATAAACCCTTCACAAAAGTTAAATGATTGAAAAGCACGTCTGTTAAAGGAAGGACAGGAAATATTGTTCTTTAGACAGACATCAGAATCACATAAGAAAATAATAGTAGTTTGACAGCAATTTAAAAGGCAACAGAAGGTCTGAGTATTTTTTGTGGAAATATTATGGTTATTTCAATCTAAGGTAACACACACACGATGTTATGAATATAGCAGGCAATGGATTACTAGAGTTAATCTAACTCTGGCTCCTCTTTCAAGAAAAGGATTTGCCTTTTCCCAAACTTGATCAAGTTCTGTGCTTTGAAAAGAAACATTATTTAATCAACCATAAATACAAATATTAAATGGACAGTAATGAGACATGTGATGCTTGAGCATCATAACCAAAATCTCTATAATGAACCCGTGCCAATATCCATCCCTCAAAGACCACTTTACAGTGCTCCAACCACTATGATCATAATCCTTCAGTAATACTTGTTCAACTGCTGTTTATATAGATGAAGAGTGTGTGTGTGCATGTGCGTTGTTTCTACTCATCCTATGCCATCAGTCAAAAGACATACAACCTGACAGTGGATAATAAGCCACAAAAAATGGAATAAGCTGATCAACATATGGGTTTCATTAAAATGAAAATGCCTTGCCTGAAATTTGAATGTCCTATAACTTTTCTGAGATTCTTATCAGGTCATTCAATTGTACCAATCTGTTGAACTGCCTTTTCTGCTAAAAGGAAAAATAGAAAATGGATTAAAATGTTCACTGCAATTTTTTGTACTCTTGAATTTGCTACATAATCAAGCAACATGCTAAAATTAGAATTGCCCAAATCTCCAGCTAGCAATACAGTCCTGCAATACTGTACCAGGAAAGGAAGGCAGCACCCAGACAGACAATTATTAATAAAATAAAAGTAATTTTCCTGATTGAGATCATCAACTGGACCAAAACTGGATCCAAAGTATTATCAAAATGTTGTTAACAGAAAAGAAATGTGTACCTCTTTCTGCCAAGTTTTTTAAACCTGAAAAACAAATCAAACTTAAGCAGAGAGCTAGTGACCCTAAGGCAGTTGATACATTTCTCTTTCTTTTTTCTTCGCTATTGTAGGAAAACTGTGGCATATTTTACATCAGCATCAGTAGTTAAAGAGGGAACCTTGCATTTTACATATGGTAACCAGATCAAAGTTATACTTTTCCTATGCATCCTTGATTATAAACCTCACTGAATGCAGTGGGATTTACTTCTGATAAACATGCATAGGATTGCACTAATATTTGCAAAGAGAAATGATTATGTTGATTTGTTTTGTAATTTAATGTACACAACAATTTAATGTACACACACAAAATAAATTTTTGGCTTTTAATAATACTGTGTTACTTCTCTAGTTAAACTGTCCTATGTTTTGCAAAGCAACTAAAATTTTAAAATAGGGGTAATACAGAAACTGTTAATATAAAAAGCAATCTAGTTTTAGTGTACTAATCATTAAATGATTTAAATTAACTGCTGCAGGTGAATGGTGAATAATCAATGTGAAAATCTTTGTTATTCTATCATTACAGGCAGATTCAAAAGTACAAATGAATATACTGTATGTGTAGTGTATATATGTGTATTTATATAGATATATATGGATGTTATATATTGATACAGAGATGTACATACTGTGCACTTATGTCTAGTTTCAGAAATACTGTACTGTAGTGTAATGCATTTAACTAAGCAGAGCTAAATAGCAACTTGTCCTCTTCCACTAAATCACTAGTACTAATTTATTTTAAAACATTCCAGGAAAAAAATACATTTACGGTCACCAACATTTTGATTATGAAAGACAATGTACAATTATTAACAAAAATATCCTCCCCAAATGAATGAACAAATTTGTTGCATTCATTTTCATAGTCAGATGCCACTAACACAAGAAGGTGTACTCAGTTGTGACAAAATGTTCCATGAAGCAAAAGAGTTGTGGAGGAAAGAAACCCGTTGAGAGCCACTATACTTCTAAAGTAGGCTCCTGTTGACTGATCTGTTTGCCAGTCCATTTCACAATCAAAAATAGTTTAAGTTTGGGGAGCAAGTTTTCAAATGTATGGAGAGTATGCTTTGCCATCACTATAATGTTCCAACAATTCTTCCTTCACCTAGTGAGATACTGAGGCCTACAAGCTTGAATAAAAACATTTGTTCCTCAAAAGACACTGACAAATGCTGAAAATGGTTTCAAGAGCACCAGACTGGACAAGATGTGTGTGTGTGTGTGTGTGTACACACAAACATTTATTCAATCTATATTACATGGAAGAGGGAAAGAACTGGTTAATAGTGGGGTGACAAACTAGTAAATGTGACCCAAAGCTAGTTTTTCTGGTAGTAGCATTAGGCTGTTCATTCTGATAATTTACTCAACACTCATTCTTGTTGCTTATGCCCCTAGAAATATACCATTGCTATTCTGATGCTTTAAGTCACCCAATACTTTTAATCAGGGGTTTTTTTTTTGTCATAGAACGCACCAGAATGGCGTTCCAGCACCTTTTTTTTTTTCAATGGATTTTACTAAGGGATTTTGAATCGCCTATCAGTGTAGCAGGTCAGCAGCAAACGTCATTAACATAGTGCCTGCTGGCTGCTTTTGTGTTCCTGCTGATAGTGAGATAGTGAGGGCGCTGCTGGGCTGGTTGCTCGGCTTGGGATTGGTGTGTGTGGTCGCGCACCGCTTACTGCTGGCGGCGACCATTATGTTTATTTGTGTGACGTGAATTCCGGCACTTTTTTTTTTTTTTTACAAAAAAAAGCCCTGCTTTTAATAAAATTTTTTGATATTACCAAAAACAGTAGAGAAAAGATCCAAAATATTCATATAAAGTTGCACTGCACCGTCATTTTGAAGGCATCTAAGAATTGTAAGTACCCCTGTGGTGTTGCATGTGTACACACAAATATACAGTGGGTAAAATCTGAGGCCAGTTATGAAAATTTAGCTGGGTTATATTTGAGAAAACACTTATTTGGACACATTTATCCCATTGAAATGGGTAAGTTGCTCTAAAACAAGCCAGTATGCTATTTGTGTCCATAGTGCAGTATAGGGTCACTACAAATCTGCACTCAATGGTTTAGCTGGTAACCCACAAATAATATGTGGATATCAGCCCCCTCCACCTGTGCCCCATCTCTCTGGGCTTCCAAGCTCAGTCTCCAGTCTCAAAAATTGTCTTTTTGTGTTGAACTTTTGTATGCTGCTGTCAAAATATGAAAGTTCTTTATTGATTAGAAAGTGAATGGTGCAATATGTTTGTGTGTGCCTGTCTGGCTGGGGGTGGGGTGAACAGCCCACCCTGAGAAGGGCAGAAACTTTAGGCTGCTTTTCCACAGGCAGTAGAGCTATTTCTACAATTGTTTGGAAGTCATTCACACTATCTCCCCAAAAGACTTTTTGCAATCACCAAAGGATACTATACTATTCTCCCTTGCTTGGAATAAGCTCCATTGGCCTCAGTTTCACTTCCTTCCCAATAAAAATGCACAGGGTAAGACTGTGTAGGTGTTTGTTGTGGTACCTGGGAGGAAAGGCTAGATCTACAGCCCTAGGATAGTGGAACCTGCTGCCCCTCCCTCCAATGGCTACATTTGTCAACTGCACTTATGAATCTGAAAGGAGAGTTGAAGGAGCCAGGGTAGCTATACCTGTATATGGGTGTCTCAAAGAATTGCTCCTCTAGCCTATGGATTGCCTGGGTGCATTTTCTCATGGTTCAACAGCGCACTGACCATGGAAATGGTTGATGCTTCCTTACTCAGCAGGGGCCAGAGTGAAGGAAATGCCCCCAAATTAATATTCTCTATTTTTGCATACCACAGAGGAGCAGAAGTCAGGCAGTAACCCTATCACTTCAAGGAGCTCAGCACAAAGGAAAGGACTATCACCTTCTCTGTCTTCTGTGATGCAAGGCAGGGGAGATTGACGAGCTTTAACCTTTGATTTTTTTAAGCAGAGGATTCATGGAAGGTGCCCTCAGCAAAGTGGAAGGATCAGACATAGAGGAAGAGCTGAATGGCAGGGCATTAATGATAAGAATGCCACATACATAAAACAACTTTAGATGCATATGCTTCAGTTGAAAGTAATTACCTGAAAGATACTTGGCAATTACTGAAGAGCAGTAGATAACTGTCTAGTATCCAAAGGGCTACGCTTGTTTTGTTAATATCTCATAAGTTTTGAGCAATATGTGAAAGTACTTCTGCAATACTGGATTAGATGGAAAAATGTGTTAAACATGTAAGAGGCAGAATATTATCCTTGCTCTTCTCCTATATTCAACAGTAGCATTAGAAAGCTGCTTGATTTAGTTGCACAAGGACCAACAGCAAGGGAGACTACTTCCAAGACCAATTCTTGCCATTTCATTTAAGCATGTGGTAATGTCTAATTACTGGTCATGGTACAACTTCATACTAAAACCTTGATACAACTGTACATTATACCATAGCAATAAGTAGACATAATAGCAAACCAAATTCTGCCATTCTTTTCCTGCTTCCAGTATAGTATAATTCCAATAATGTGAATTAAAGACAAGTTTGGTCCTTGGAGAAAAACAAGCATTCTAGCTTTGTTAGACCACTTCTGTTGTAAAAAGAAACGTGCAAACATGAACAATCATGTTCCAGATCAGAAGAAAGAAAAATAGATAATTGGACTTTCTCTTCTTCAAACTTGCTGGCAAATAAAAAAAATAGGGTCAAAAAAGATGTTATAGTACCATGTTATTAAAATGGATCTATCCTGCAAGAAAATAAATTGCAGGCAAAGGGAGAGTCCTACAGTCCTCATTTATATAACCCTTTAAATTGGACCCCAACATTAGCTTCTCTGTGATGGGAACAAATCCATGATGAAACAAACAGATGTGCCTCTAGCACATCTGATGGGGTCCTTAGTCCTTTGCCCACGTCACTAAGCCTACATTAGGAAAAAACCATTGATAAATAATATGACACATGGTTAAATTAGGGACCTAGGTTGCAAAATTAGTATCAAGATTATATCAAGATGACTGAAAGAAGTCTAAATGACTTAATGTTGAAGTTAGTTGAGTGTCAACCAACAGTAACAGAGCAGTGCAAAAACATACTAATTACTTTAATAGTAGTACTAATACCTCCCAGCTAGTAGACTTTTCATAACTCACTTAACCTTTTCTGTACTATTATACAGTTTTAAATCAAAACAAAATATGCAGCACTTCATACAAATGAATGAATATTTGAAAATCATATATATTTGCATTGGTATAAAAAATAGCATACCCCTCCCTCTTTATTGTTTTAAGGCAGCAATCCTACATAAGGCTGCAATATAATTGCTTCCAAAAGAATAATCCATTTAACCTTACCAACTTATTGGGTTTTTTACTACAGTACTAATATTTTTGAACACCATTATGAAATGAAGCTTAAGACTCCAATTAGTGGATAATTTGGAATAAATACTCCTATCACCAAAAATGTGTTATGCAGTGTTCCTCCTCTTTTCTCTAAAGATGCAATTCTGCAAATTTTATATTTTTTCCTCCTATCACATGATTTGGGCATTTTATGCGAGGTGTCATTTCCAAGGAGCAGCAAATACAGGATGGCCATAGTTCAGAGTACTTGCTTTGCATCCAGATTTAAAATTTTATTTCTTGCATCTCTCAAGTAAGCGGGAGATAGAAGATACCTGCAGGACCCCGCCAGGCAGTATAGGTAATAGTAAGCTATTTAGGCAATCTGTCCTAGTATAAAGAAGAGCCCTAGTGGGATGTGGAAATGGCAAAAAGATGACTAAGGGTGTAATCCTATGCAGGTTTAGACTGGGAAAAATGTCCTACAACTTCCAGAATGGCTGGAACATGCCTGGAGTTGTAGGACCTTCTTCTTTCTAAATCTGGATAGGTTGTAGCCTCCAAAAGCATAACTGTTTCCTTGAAAGGAAGTCAGGAGCTTTCAGGATGCCTATTTAACAGTGAACTCAGTATATATTGTGTGGAAAAGAACAAAAACAGTGAACTTTACTGTTAATCACTCAAAAAGAGGAGTGCATTGATATGAGGAAGGTGGTTGCTCTTTACTACTGTTTTTTTATAATTCCACTGCAGTATCAAAACTGTTGATGCAAAAGCAGCCCTTACTTTTACCTTTTATGACAAATCTCTACTTACGTGACTTATTTCAGTGGAACTGAAACAGGCATGAAACTAGATCTGAATATGTGTTGAAATTTTACTTATGTCTACATGTTCTTTATTGTTCAGAAATGTTAATATTATCCACCTTTCAATACTGTCACTTTCCACTTCTGCTGCTGAAGTAGAGAACTGATATGGAAGTGAAAATAGTCCATTTCACCTTTTAATTTTCACATATTAGAGAATGGGGCCAATCCCTGGTTAAGCAATACTGTTCAGGAATTTTTAAGTGCATACACAAATGTTTAATATTCATTCCAAAAGTATTGTGTAAAAATGTATTGTGAAAAGTTTTACATCAGAAGTACATAACAGTGTCTTCTTTTACAAGTCATATTAATAGTATTCACTAAATCATCAGTTTAAAAAGTACATGAATACAACATCGAGTTAAAGTTCTATTTTGGGGTAATCATCTACAGATAATATCTGCCAAAAAGTAGAAATTGGGGAAGTCTAAATGTGGAAAATAGCACTTGAATTCCTTGTCCTTGAGCACTAATCCAACTGCATGTAACCTCATGTTACCATCATATGCCAGCTGGGCCATATGTGATATTGGCATACTAATGATGCTCTAAGTCTGGAATAGTTCAGAATTTCTAAGTTAATAATGACCAGAGCCAAACCTATTCAAATATTTGGGCTCAGTTTGGTCCTGCTTCAGTGCCATCAACATCATTGCCTGCTGGTAGCAATGGGGGAAAAAAACTTCATTAGACTTTGAATGCTGCAGCAGCACCGTGGTAGCCAAGATGACTGGGACATGAAATTTCTCAGGGATCCTGACCCCTACAGTGTATTACTGCAGCTTTCTAGAGCATAATGAAGGCTGTTGCAGCAGCAGACTGATTTTAGGGATGAATAGCCTGTGGCCCTTGAGCCTGTAGAAATGGAGTCACAACAGACCTTCTTTAAAAAAAATCTACCAGGGATAATTGGGTATATGGGTTTGCATAAGTGCTGAGGTGGGGTGGTCTCCAGGACATGCCATGTTTTTGATGGCACTAAGTGCATAATGAGACCTGGAACCGAATTAGAAGAACAAGCAAATGTTTTGGCAGCAACTACAGGCAAATAGCTATCTTTGAATTAATTTTAATTCAATATCTTTGAATAATTTAAACTATAAGGGCATACAAATGTAAAGCTGCTGCACATTACAGCACTCCCACAATATAGGTAATTCATAAGAAACATGAATTGTACTTATTTATTTTATATTAAAATACCCACTTTTAAAACATTCATATTATTTTAGTGAGCACTAGAGGCAAGTATTTAGTCTAGTTGATCGAAATAAATGGAATGACATCCTTGCTGAGACTTTGCTGAACTCCCATTAATCCACTCAGTGAACCAGAGATTCTCTGGGTCTGTGGGAAGGGTGGAGAATTGAAAGATGAACAGAGCTTCACAAGCTATAGGGTCCCTTTTTTTTCCTGGTACTGCCGCCAGTTCAGAATAGCCCCAGAGGTGTTTTCCGCATTACAATATGAGGCTGAAAGTAATGCATAATGTCTTTTTCACCCTGAAACAGGAATGTGCACTATTGCAAATGAGGAAAAGATTCAGATCAGAAAAAAGATGAGTGCAGGTTATTTTTGCATCCAGTGCATTTAATATATGAAAATGCCTACCAAGTCACTAAACATCGGATATTCCTGTGAGATGTTAACTTTATATTGCCCTACATCAGTCTTCTACTGCCTAAGTATCCATTTGGCCAGAGAATAACAGCAATATTTACCTTACATGGCAACAAGCGCTTTTCTCCATTTTTCAGCAAACACTCCTGACCTTGGTCTTCTTTTCTTTCACTGAGAATATTTTAAACAATATAAATAGGAAGAGTATTTTGGTGCTATTAATTAGCCCTTTAATAATTAAACAAATGGAAGTTTTATTACGTTTAGTGCAAATATATTTAAAAACATAAGAAATAAATACAATACTATTTTCCTGTAGAATTCAGTGCCAAAGCAATCACTGGAACTGTGAAAGCATTAGGAATTTTGGACTATGGTGGCCTTTGGCTACAAGCAATAAAGTATGTAAAATAACACAATTATTAGGATTCAGAAAAACTAGAAAAATATATGAAAAATCAGTACATTTCCAATTATAATACAGTGGTTTAAAATCAATGAGTTATTACCCAAAATGGGACGAGGTGTGCTTAAATCTATTGAAGCCAGTTGGCTAATGCACACCAAATTCTGTGCTGGATTGTGACCATATAGATATAGTGTGGCTATAAAAATTGAAAGTTAAAAGATCTGAGTTTTAAAGATTTCTTATTAATTCATTGTTTTGAATTTCTGCTAGTTTTCCTTGAAATATTTGGTACTAACCATGGCAAAATTACAGTAGAATAGGTTGATGGGAGCTAAGCCTCTTGAAGAGCAAACCTTCTGGGTTAAACTGACTTTGTAGGAGCAAGTTTGGGAATAGGATTAGTCTGATCTATTGGCTTCAGCAAAGAGTGGATGCTCCATCCCCAATACCTGGAAATGTTCTGCATATGAGTACAGCTGTGTGTCTGCAGAAGAGCACAAAAGAGCTTTGAAAGTGGATAGGGACACACTTTCCACTGTTTCTCCTCATACTAAAAGGCGGGGTCATCCTGTAAAGTAGGACAGATAAAAAGGAGTACTTCATGCAGTGCCTAGTTAGCCCATGGAATTCATTATCACAAGATGTAGCAATGGCTAGGAATCTGGAAAAGATTTTCCAAATTAATGGAGGAGAAGTTTTTAACACAGCTGGTCCAATGATGAAGTAAGATGAATTCCTGCCTCAGGCAACAGAGCATGAGGAGCATCAAATTGTCCTGCTTTTCCACCCCTGCCAGGACCGCTAACCACCACCTCCAATAGGTACTTCGAAGACTGTGGCAAATGGCATAGAGGAAGAGCATCCAGCATAGTTTCCCAGATTTGTCATTTGCTCCATTTTGCTCTGTGAGGAACAGAGGATGCATGATTGCCTGATGAATTCCCTCTGGCTTGCACTGGGAATTCTCAGCATAAGCCAGAGGGTGCACAGGTGATCTCCTAGAGCTGTTTAGGCAATCTTCTGGAACAGCCCTCTCATGGCTGGTTCTGAGAAAGGACTCCTTCAGAGCCAAGCACTTCAGAGCCAAGCATTTCAGTTAGCTCTCTGAAGATATGTGCCAGCCACTTGCTTGGCTGACAGGGTTCTCTAGAAAGCCTGCCCTCTAGCCCATTCTCATGGATAGTGATGTGGGGTTGGGGCAACATGTGTGGGGCAACATGTGTGCCCTCCCACCTCAGGCAGTGGGGGAATTTACACTAGGGCTATCACAGCTGTTACTCACAAGGGCTATATATAATCATGAGTATCTGAGATACTTTGTCCCTGTACACCAGTTGCTGGGGAACACAAGCAAGAGGCTGCTATTGTACTCACGTTCTTGTGGGTTTCCTGCAGGCAGCTTGTTAAACAGTATGTGAAAAGAATGGCAGACTAGAAGGCCTGATCTACCATGGCTCATCTGTTATTTTACTTCACAAACTGTAGTTGCACAGTTAGACTCTTAATCAAGACTCTTTATATTGTTTTGGATTGGGAAAAGAAACACTAAGTAAAAATCCAGAAGCCAGAAATGCCAAAGGCAGAGGCAAAATCAAGTAAAAATGATTTGAACTTCATTTTGAAATGTGTAGTACTTTTTGAGAGTGACAGACATTCAGAGCTATAGGTATAAGCAAAATACCTGCCATTCCTGGTTTAGTATATCACCTGAAAATGTCAGTTTTAGACTCAGTTCATATATTTACAGGGGTAAGAACTTTCATGCAGTGGCAGTTGTCCAAGTCCCTATATTTTCCATTATAGGTCTCCTTGAATAGCCCTAACTTCATTTGTAGAATAGGAAGCTGGTAAGAATTAGTAGGCATATGAGCCTCTACATGGAGCAGACACAATTTCAGGTGTGTGAGCAAGGTGAAAGCTGCATTACTACTTCACCAAGCATAGCTGTAGTTTTGCCTGGTAAATATCTCAACCAAAATTTCTTTTCTGAAGAGTACTAACTGCAACTGAAAATCAGACAATTGTATATTGCAAATACTTTAATACAGATTTCCATTTCAGAGATGCTATATGATTTGAAGGATGATCAAACTAAGTATACATTCTAAATGGTTTTTCCCTTGTTTCAAATAGTTCTGTAGTCAATTCATAGTTGTCTTGAAGATTTCAAGATGGAATGGCCCTCTTGTGATTCAAATTTCTTACAAGGCTATTTTATTATATTACAATTATTTTTCTCAGTTATTGACTAGTACCTTGTCCTTATGTTTCAAGTGACCTTATAAAACTAATTAAGATATTGCTTAAAACTGAATGAGAACTCATGATTCCTGGTTGATCCTTGTATTCAGTGAAGATTATGTTTTTGCAGAAGACACTGTCATATGCTTTTGTGCAGTTTTTGCCCTACCTCCTCCCATTCTCAGTGCATTTCATTCCACTGCAGCTATTGTTTGCCCTTGGTTTGTGAACTACTATAGTGGGAATCAATATTTTGCATCACACTACTAACCATTTTGTCTAAAATTCAGAGCTCTGTGGGGATGATGCTCACCATTTACTCAATATGACAGTTCCATATAAGCATTCCCTTTGCTCAGTTAAGGCAATTATGTGAAATTAACTTGCAATGGAATCCATGGGGCTTTCTTGCATTATATTCATTTGGACTGGGATGTGATATTTCTGGACTAGGACATCTGAATAGTTAAAATATAGCTCTCTACCATCAAAAAGAGCTTTCAGTTTGTGATAGTGCACAGCAGGGATGGTTACCAGTATGTTGTAACCTTTGGTTGAGCTTGGCCAATAGGTGTTGCATTTTGATATCACAGCACTGTGAGAGATCCTTATCTCACCCTGGAAATTAATGAGGTGTGCCAGTGGGCTCCTACGGGATGGCGTTCTGGAGTGGACCTGACAGGGAGTTGTTACCTGCAGGTCTGCCCCTGGTCCATAAATTGAAGCCTGCATTTAGCAAAACACGTGCTACCTCAGTGTAACTTGTTAGGAGTTTGCAAACAATTTTGTGGAGCTTGCAACCACTGTTAACTTAGATATCTCACAACATCGTGTTACTAAGACATTAAAGGTCTATCTAATACACTCATTCCATCTCAGCTAACTTACAGATAATAAGTGCAATTCTATATATGTCTACACAGAAGTGTCCCACTGCTTTAATGGGGCTTGCTTCTTGTATATGATTGCATCCTATGGTTACAAATCTAAATACAATGATCTGAGCACAAGTCCCATTGAATTCAACAGGATTTACTTCTGAATAAACATAGATGGGATTGTGCTGTCTAACACCATATGCTTTCACCATGAGGAGTAGCCAATAAGTATCAAAGAAATAATAACAAAGATGTTAAGCATGGAAAAGAATCTCATAAAATCTACAGACCTCTACAAATTCTGCACCCTGTTCCTGAAGACTTTATATTGAAAAGGTCCCAGTGGTTTTTATGGGACTTTTCTCCAGATAAGCATACTTAAGAATTGCAGTCTCAGAAAATTTGGTTAAAGAAAAGATACATTTAAAAATGGTGTAGGTATTTCTCATTGTCCTTCATTTTGCATATTATGCTTAGATCATTTCTGCCTGAATTTCTGTACCAAGATAAACAGGATAAATGTTTACTAGATATGTTAAGACACTGCTCCAGTGTAAATAGGCACCCAAAGAATGAGAATTTCTTGAATAGGAATTTCTCAAAAAATCTTTTTGGAAGGGGAAGAGCTCATCAATAATAAAATTAAATTAAAGATATTATTAATATATATCCTGTCTACCAAATTGTGCTTTGGATGAATAAAGAATGCAAAGTATGGCCCTTACTTTCAGCATTTTTGCAGATGAAAAAGAAGAAAGATTGCTTGTAACAAAAAATATTAATTTTAGCATTTAGATAAACTAAAGAGACTAGATCCACTTCTTGTAAATAGGAAAGATTCTAGACAGAATAAAAAGGCTGTGTAAGAACAATCTCCACAAGTGACCATTTAAGTACAGAACTTCCTTCTTTTCTAGGGATGTCCAGAATTTACAAACAAAATCACATTCTATTATTTCAATGGCTGGATAAGGTTCAAATAAAGTTAAAATCTTGCTTCTGAAAACTAACTTTCATCTAAACCTTAGATGAAAATCAATAGAAATCCTAAGAAATCTATAAATCCAAATTCAGAACAGCTTTTCAAGTGTCACTAAAGCTGTGGACAGAGTGTGATGGAAGAAATCACATATAGCCATCGTACTTCCAGGATGCTATTCTCAAACTAATAAAAGCACAGAGAAAAACAACAGGAAATAAGTTGAGACATATTTTCTCTTTAATCACTCAACCTCCTTTTCCTCTTGCTATTTGGAAGTAGGATACCTAACCTTAACAGTCTTTATCTACAATAAAATATATATGTGCATATAAATATATATATATATATATATATATATATATATATACATATTCATATATATATATTATATACACACACATATATATTCAGTTATGCAACTGAGCAGATATTAGTGGCAGTGTATGCAAAACAAAAGAAAAAACAAAAATTATTTAACAAGGTTACACTTTCATTTTTTGTTTTTTTACACAAATACTGTGGTAAATATATTTTTTTTTTAAAAAATCAGCACTCTATCTGGTAAACACAACTTCTGTCCCTCTATAAAATTTTGAATTAAAAAAAATCTTGAGAACTCTTTTTAGTTATTCCCCACCCACCTTGTACTTTACTTTCCCCACCACAAGAATAAATCTTGATGCAGCCTTTTGATTTTTACTCCCAAATATTGTGGGAGTGAATCCTTTTCTTGTACCTAGAACACTAGGTGAAAAAAACCTCTTGAAATCTTTTCCTTTTGCTATTTTCTCTTTGATATTTGCAAAAGTCCCACTGATTGTGCTGAGGCCCTAGGCTCAGCAAAGACACTGAATAAATTACAAAAAAGCCAACTTTGCTCACCTCATTCTTACTTCATTGTTTCTAGCTTTTGATGAAAAATGGTGTTGGTGTTAGTGGGGGAGAAAGAAGTTGGAGATTATGAATCAGAATGTGTGGAATGGAACAGAATCCACAAGAGGAACCTATTTTTCTCTTTCCCCATCCTGCAGGGACTCCACACCATCCAACCCAAACATCTTTGCCCTTCTCCACAGCCCTTTTTATGATAGCAAGACTAATGGTGGAAACCAGTAGGGCCCATTATCTTGGTTGCTGCTCAACCATATGTTTCTATGCCACAGTTTTAACTGGATACTGTGAAGTCCAAAGCGGTCAGAATTGCAAATCTGTCCACTGAAACACTGCAAGCGGTGTACTTACGACAGTAGGCCTTGTAGATTTCACAACATATTTCTCTTTTTGTTGTTGTTGTTGTTGTTTTGTAGTGCTCTTCACAAGTGACAAAAAAGATTTTTTTAAAGTTTTTTTTTTGTAGTAAAGAAGGGTTGTATTTAGAGGCCAGTAGCTAGAGATCCAACCAGTAGATCTCCTGAAGCACTATCTGGCCTTAAGGCCACCATCAAAGGAAGGTTGGGATAATAACTATTGACCCACCTTCCAGAAATGTAATGTACCAGCAGGCAAAAAACAGTTCTTCATGTAGTACAAAAATGAAATGAAAATAAACAAACAAAAATGTAAAAATGAAAGAAACAAACAAACCCCAAAACATTAAATTCTAGTGCCATAGCTTTTTGTTGTTTCTCTAGTTGGGCTTTGTTGTTGTTCATAACAGAACAGATTTTACTTATCCATCTGAAACATGCATCCTCATGTGGTCATTGAAATGCTCAATTTGGTCAAACTTAGCTGGACAGACGGAGCAGACATATGTGGTTCCCTCTGTGCAGGCCATCACTCCAGCAGGAAGAGCCCTTGCACCAGTGCCTGTTGTGCTAGTTGTTCCATTTGTGGCACTATGCAGAGCCACATGTCTTTCAAGCAGGGTCTTATGAGAGAATTTTTTCTTGCAGATGTAGCATTCATAGGATTTCTCTCCACGGTGGAGCCGCATGTGCACATTTAGGGAGCTCTTCTGGGTAAAACGCTTGTTACAGATGCTGCATTGGTAGGCTCTGACACCAGTGTGAGTCACCATGTGTTTGATCAAGTAATCCTTTAGGGAGAATGATCGCCAACAAATGCTGCATTGATGGGGCTTCTCACCTGCATAGTGAGGAAAAAGAACAAAGTCATGGGGAGAGAAAGTTAGGAAAAACTACACATTAAGAACAATTAAACTGTCCAATGAACAGGCCAGCTATAGTTGCTCTGACTGTAGAACAACCATCTGAGGAGGAAAGCTTTCCTAAAAATCAGTATCTGCTTTTATCATCAGGGATATTTTAATCTTTGATCTCAATTTACAATCATGCTCATTTTCTCCAACAGATGGGAGAACAGAAAGATAAAATAACTCAAGTTAAAACGTTTTGTTTGACTGCATTATTTTTTTCATAGCCAGGAATACATTTAGAAGATCAATTTACAATGGAACCTTATGGTCACTAGACACTGTCTACACAGCCATAGGATAATTTGGAGTCCCAGTTCCAACCTCAGAAAAGTGATCTGAGATCAGATGTGGAGCTCCAAATACAGAGAGCACCCTCTCTCCACCTTTGCAGCTGTCAGGGTTCCTTCTGGACTGGCTGCAGGTCTGCATTCACAAGACTGCCCTCAAAGCTCATGTTGAGGGAAATTCCATGGCACAGGGAAGGGAGAAGCAAGGTGCCACCTATGCGATATTCTGGCAGTGCCCTTGGCTATTTACAAGCAAGCAAAGTGTGAAACACTTAGACATCTGCAATTAGCCATCTAGATGTTTTGGAAGGGGAAGGAACACTGAGACAATCTTTCCTCCATGTTCCTCCCATCTTCCTCTGGACACATGTTCAGAGGAGTAAAGGCAGCCACATTGAATAGCACTGCCCAATAAGTACCAACCACTCTTTCTAAACACAATTCAGGAGATTCTAATTTTTGTAGATCTCTCAAAATTTCCAACCCATATTTTGTAGCACAGTGGAGCAACTGGGAACACATTATAGCAAGGAAGTTGCAGTAAAGCAAAACAAAAACTGCATTCATTAAGGTGGCTGCAACCATTGTAAAACCTGGCATAAATGTGTTAGTGGAAGTTGGTAAGGTGTGGCTTGTTTTCACAATGCACCTTTTCCTCCTATGACTTAGTATAATTTGCTTTGTTTATAGTATTAATTTATTTTATGCTACCTTTTACAGCATATACCCTTTCAAGTCAGCTTACAACTAAATCTTAGAGCTCATTATCGAACCTATGCTGTGGCAGTGAGGGCGGCGAAGAAGGAATTCTTCTCTGCTTCCACTGCATCCTCACAGTGCCATCCAGCTGAGCTTTTTTGGATGGTACATGGCCTATTACATTCTGGTCCTAAAAAGGATTCTATTGCACCATCCATAGCTCGCTGTGACAACTTTGCCCAGCACTGTAAGGATAAAATCACTCAGATTTGCCACGAGCTGGACTCCACACAGTTGATATGGTCCCAGAACAGGGAGTGCCTAGAGCACTGTCTGGTCCATCTTCATTGGATGAATTTCAATTGTTGCGGCCTGAGGATGTGGACAAGTTGCTTGGATTGGTCCAACCCACCACCTGTCCACTCGACCCTTGCCCCTGTGGCTGCTCACCAAAGCCAAAACTGGGATATGTACCTGGATCCAGGAGGTCATCAACCCCTCTCTGAAGGAGGGCCAGGTTCCCGCCCCTTTGAAGGAAGTGGTGATAAGGCCTGTCCTGAAGAAGGCATCTCTGGACCCAGAGATGGCAGCCAACTATAGGCCGGTGGCTAATATCTTGTTCTTGGGCAAGGTGCTCGAGTGGATGGTGGCAGGACAATTCCAGGTGCTCTTGGAGGAAACTTATCATCTTGACCCATTTCAGTCCAGCTTCAGACCAGGCTATGGAACTGAAACTGCCTTGGTCGCCCTGTATGATGACCTGTGCAGGGAGAGGGACAGGGGGAGTGCGACCCTGTTTGTTCTCCTGGAGCTCTCAGCAGCTTTCAATACCATTGACCAACGTATCCTTCTGGACAGGCTGGCTGGGTTGGGAGTTGGTGGCATTGCTTTGCAGTGGTTCCACTCCTACCTGTCTGGACGATTCCAGAAGGTGGTGCTGGGGGATTATGGCTCTGCACCATGGCAACTTTGTCATGGAGTTCTGCAGAGTTCCATTTTTTCTCCCATGCTTTTTAACATCTACATGAAACCATTGGGAGAGGTTATCCAGAGATTTGGGCTGTGAAGTCAGCAGTATGCTGATGACACCCAGCTCTACCCCTCATTTACATCTAGTACAGATGAGGCAGTGGCTGTCCTTAACCGGTGCTTGGCTGGATGATGGCCAATAAATTGAGACTTAATCCAGATAAGACAGAGGTTCTGTTGGTAGGACCTGGATATCTGAAGAAGCATCTCCTTTGCTATGTGCCTTCCCACCCCTTGAGATCTGAGGCAGAGGTCTAGCTCCAGGAGCCCTCCTTGAAGGAGATTAGGAGGGAGAGTACCCGGAGGAGGGCCTTCTCTGTGGTGGAATATGATCCCCAGAGAGGTTTACGTGGCGCTGATGTTATATTCTTTTCAGTTACAGGCAAACCCCTTTATATTTTCCTGCTATTTTAATGTTAAATTGATTTTAACTGGGTTTTAGTATATTAATAGTCAGATGCTGTGGGTTTGTTTTATTCTACTTATTTATTGTAAGCCATCCCAAGACATTCTGTAGGGGATGGGATAGAAAAACTTTAAATAAATAAATAAATAAATACCCCATTCAATACAAATAAATAAATAAATAAATAAATAAGGAAAAATTAATAAATACCAGCAATAAAATACCTGACCTAGGCAGTACTAAAACCTTACAACAACTGCAACTACAAATGATTACAGTTCAGTAAAACACTGTCAAGGGAAAAACTGAGTAACAAAGTATATCTTCAGGGCCATACATTGCAGGCATTCCATTCCAAAGATGTGCGACACTACAGAAAAAGTCTTCCCTCATTTACACCTAACTTCCTCAAAGGTGGGCAAGTGAGAAAGACTTCTGTGAGTGGGCTGATATGAGTTAAGGCTGCCTCTGAGTATTTTCTCTCATACCATTTAAGACCTTATAGATAAGGACCAGCACCTTATATTGTGTTCAGAAATGTACTGGCAGCCAGTGCAGCTGGTACAATACAGGTGTTACTGATTGGATTATCTTGCCCCACAAATCTTCTGGTGGTTCAGTATCCCTTCGACTCCTCAATTTGATGGATTATGTTCCCCTTTTCTGAGAAGTTAGGGAGACATATTTTCAAGTATGTTTCAAGTACATGGAAGTTAGAAGAACATTCTTTTCTTTACAGACTTCAACAGTTAACAGTATGATCCTTTATGCATCTACTCAAGGGACTTGGGTAAGTGTTTGTAACAATATTTATACATATTTTCAAAACCAATACCAACTTCCTTAGGCTGAATAATGTATTTAAAAGTCAGAAGAAAGGTGACAGCAAAATAAGGGAATGGTGTTGCTAGGCTGGGTTTCTGCCTGCTCCAGCCTCCCATACAGGTTGGAACTTCCAGCTTGCTGGTGACATGAACCAAAGAGGGAGCTAAATGGCCCACATGCATGGTCAAGAAGCTGCCAAACAAAAGCTGTTAAAGAGAAGAGCAGATACTTATTGAATTAGTATTCCAAAAGGGGAATGGCATCTGATGGAGATCAATGAGGTAAGAAAATCACCACCTAGGAGTTTAGATAAAGATGATAATGTGGTGTTAAGAAATAGCTCCAATATTTTTTGCCATCACAAGATAAGTCTGCTTCAGGTAATTTTCAATTTCAGTTGGGAACCACTTTTACCTACTCAGAAAAGTATGGACAGGTACAGTGATATCCAAGTGTATATAAAAAAGGTAACACTGAAAAAATATGGTTATAGATTCAAAGTTAAATCTCACTTGGAATGTGGTTCAGTAAAATATAGTTTAGATAATAACAACCACAATAATTGGTTAAGTTATCCCATTCTAACCTTATTGGAACTAGTATGCAAAAAGGAGGAGGGAAATGACTGGAAAAGCCTGCGGACCAAGCAAAAAAATTAAATGTGGAAGGACTCTATATTTCTTTCCTTTTCTTTGATGGGGAATCTATATTAGCAGTTTTAAACTTTAGAAAAATAGAGCAAATGCTGTGAAATTGAATGATTAGCACATTTAGCTCGTTATTAGAAATTCAAATGTTATGGTACAGCCTCCAGAAGAGCATTTAAGCAGATACTCTGTTTTATACTCTTACTCTCTGATTCTTATTCAGATGTAAGCCTTACTGGAAGAAATATGTACAACCCTTTCATGCATGTTCCCAGGCCAGCTTTCAAAACTTCATGGAAGTGTACATAAAAGTGCAATGTTAGAAGAATATTTTTATTTATTCACTTGTTTTAGGGACTGCAGGTGGCGCAGTGGTTTAAACCACTGTGCTGCTGGGCTGGTTGATTGAAAGGTCGCCGGTTTGAATCTGCACAACGGGGTGAGATCCCGCTGCTCCATCCCAGCTCCTGCCAACCTTGCAGTTCGAAAGCATGCAAATACAAGTAGATAAAAAGGTACCACTTCAGTGGGAAGGTAAACAGCGTTCCGTGCACTTCGGTGTTTAGTCATGCTGGCCACATGACCACGGAGTCTGTCTGTGGACAAACGCTGGCTCCCTCGGCTAGGAAACGGAGATGAGCACTGCCCCCTAAAGTCAGGCATGACTGAATGTCAAGGCGAAACCTTTACCTTTACCTATTTTTTTACTTATTTTATTTCAATATTGCCTTCAGCTGAAGATCTCTGGGCAGTTATATGGTAAAAAGTGTTTGCAATCAGGAACCGTTAGAGGTTCAGTATTCTATCTGAGATTCTGCTAGCTTTAGATAGCAAAGGTAAGATACAATTAGTCCTACCCCTCCTCCTCTGCCCCACAAGTACTGATGACTTGCTTTAGTAAACAACAATAAACCTTAGAACCTATTCACATTCTTATTGGCACATTCACTCCCCATTAGAGAAGAGGAAAAGGCATTCTGCAGAATAGGAGCATGGCAGTTGCCATAGCATCTATCGTAACTATTTTTATGGATTATCAAACAAAAGACAGACTCTGAGGAAGACAGAGAAGGCTACTTTAGAGATTGAATCTAACACTTCTGCAGATGCCCTTACAAAGATACAGAATTGATTCCAAGTCATACCAGGAAGTGCTTGTGAGGTGACAAATGTGAAGGAGTCAGAGATTGGGGAGCACAGCAATGACAGAGAAGAGGCAGGTCAGCTGCCACCTAATCATTCAGACAACAACCAAGCTGACCTTCTGACCACAAGGGAGTGTGACCTTCTAATGAAGGAAGGAGGATTGGAAATACAAGACTGAAGAGTTGGATAGCAGATGAAGAGAGGGGCAATGTAGAAGTACTTGGAGCTCAAAGACTTGCAGCCAGGCAGCTGAACATGCAGAGACACCCACATTAAGGACAGCACTCTGTAGTCTACTCAGTGTTGTAAAAACTGAAAACCATCTGTGTTATACAAAGCTTATCTGAGGACCAGTGTGATGCAGAGGGGTTAAGGATGTGGAGTAGGATTCTGGATGCTAGTTGCCTCTCAGCTAGGGAGCTCACTGGGTGGCTTTGGGACAGTCATAGACTCTCAGCCTAACCTTCCTCATAGGGCTATTGTTGTAAGAATAAGTGTGAGAAGAGGAAGATAATTATGTAAGCTTTCTTGGGTTTCTTTAAAGGAAAAAGTGGGATATAAATATAATAAACAAACAAAATCTTTTTATGTTCATTGCATGGGGAAGCTGTCTGCAGCCTGAAGCAAAGCCTGCTTGTTCACAGTTTGCATAATAAATATAATTAGAGATACAACTTGATTGTTTGAAGAAAAAGGGAGTCAAGACACTAGGCATCAGACAGACAGTGGCAGAGATACTGAGCTGGAAGAGCTAAGTTGGAGGCAAAATTGGTTATATCTCAGGATTACTAGAAAAAATGGTGTGGTCTCAGAAATTTTTAAATTTATCTTTAGCAAATAATAGCAATGCCTTCACTAGAGAGCCAGACTACTTCTACCCAATCTACTAAAATTGCTTGATGATATCACTGATTATTCTTCACTGTTCAAAAACCTTGGCAAAAAGTAGTAATGGACTGGTGTCTTATTGGAAGAAATATCCAGAGTTCAAATAGGAATGAAGAACGAAATGCAGATGAGGGAAAACTAAGAAACATTTGGGATTATGGTGAATAGTAAACTATATGGCTCAATAATGTGCCATTATGACAAATAAAGCTAACATAGCTTTAGGTTATGTTTTGTATGATTACCAAAATTAAGAATCATACGTGTAATTCTGTGCAACTTCTATAAACCCAACTGTAGTAACTGAGTTCATTTCCAGGTACTTGATTTAGAAAAAAATAGAAGAAATGAAAACAGCTCACACAAGCGGGGACAGGTATAGTGCCTGAGGCCTATTGTCCCTGCCATATTCTTTGCTCTGCACTTGGCCTCAAAGTTTGGGTCCTTAACTCTCCCCAGTTCCTGCTGTGGGTTCAGTCCTAGACTATGTGCTATTTGCAGAACCTGGTCAGATAGCAATCCCAGATCTTCTGAAGGTGAAGCCCTGTCCTGTGGGGCTACTGGTGCATCTGGGGAGCACTGATCTTCTGGGTCTGAGTCTGAGTCTGGGATGTTGCTGGAGCTTGAGCTGGTAAGAAGGCCTGCAGAGGAGAGAAGTGCACTGGCAGTGTGCACTGGATTCCAGTGTCTCTTGTGGACCTGGAAGTGGTCAGCTATGGTTTGAGTTGGGATGCCTCACTGTGTGCTGGGGCCGTGTCAGACCAGGTGGGCCTCCAGTATGGTTCTTCTGGGTACCTGGAGTCATAGGAGGCCCGGTGTTCCCAGCAGAAGCCCCTGTCATAGTTTTATACAAGGGCATTGGCCAGTCAGGCCTTTGGACCCAGTTGAAGAAGGGCAAGCAGGACCGGTATCTGTGATGGTTGGTCTTGATGGATAGGACCTAGCTCAGGATCAGTACAGGAAGTGAGGCATGTCTCAGTCCTGAACCAATCGAAGGTGCTTGTTTTTATTCATTTATTTAAAACTTTTATATGCCGTCCCTTATGTATAACATCTCAGGATGGCTTACAGCATTAAAATCAGAATCCAATAAAACAATCAATACCACAATGTAATAAACAACATATAACCAATAAAAATGTTGTCTGGGTAGAGAAAGCTCCTGTTCTTCAAAAATCAGGTGGCTGGTGATGCTTGGTGCATTGGTGCAGAGGCCTCCTGATCTCCCTGGGGTACTGGTGATGGGCAGTGCTCAGTGTTGGGCTCTTGCTCTATGTTAAGGGTACACAGGAGGCCAGCAAAGGGCACCTTGTCATGGCTCTTGGCCTTGGCCCATTTGTTGTGATCTTGGCTTTAGTTGCATTGGCCATTTTGGAGGATCTCATCTTTTTGGCGCATTTCTTCATCTTGACAATTTTTGAAGTACAGCCTGGGGTACAGCTTTGGCAAAGTGGCCAAAGCGGGCCTGCCACAGCAGCAGGGGTGTTGTGGATACCTGCTCCAGGGACTGAGGGGAGCCAGTCCCACGGAGGGCTCCACTCCAGTTCTCCACTTTTAGGTGGTCAGTTCAATGCTTTGTCTCTTGCCTGGTGATGGCCTGCCAGTGGCAGGCCTTCCTCACAGCTTTTTCCGAGGCTAAAGAGACAAAGTGAGTGGCCATTGGTCTGTGACAGTTTGCTGCTGCAGCTCAAACAGTTTCTAAATGGAGCTCTGAGTGTTGTTGTGGGGCTGGAAAAGTGAGATCAAGTGGAGAGAGGAAGAAAGCGTAAGATATAGGGCAAGACAGGAAACTGGGATGGAGTATATTTTAGAAGATTTTTTTAAGGAAAAGGGAAAGAGGAAAAAGAGGATGAGGTTAGAAAGAAGTTCAGGACTTTCATTAGAGAAGGAGAGAAGCTCATGAAAAGAAGGTAAGTGTATAGTTAGTTACAAAGAGCAGAGGAGGAACTTCCCAGTGTACCATAATGGCAGTTGAAGAACGGAGGATCAGCCAGAAATTCCTCCCTCATGTCAGGCCATGCCCAGGGGAGGGGCTTCCACCAAATAGGAATTAATTAGCTTTGGAATCTTCCCAAACAGGGTCCATGCATGTGTGCAGAACCCATATGTGTGATGCACAGAGACCACGAAGAACATATTAAAGGAGAATCTGCCAAAAATACAAACTGGTCTCAGAGAAGAAAAGCAACTGTTTATACATTCAAATGAAAAGAAAGCTGCGAAATCAGTTTTAGAGTGCATGGAAGTAGGCTTAAACATAAGGAAAACATCCTAAGTGTTACTGATTTTCAAGACAATATTACATTCTTGTATGAGGACAGGTTGTTGGCATAGATGATCCACTCTACTATGAATGTTTCCCTAACTAAGGACAACTGTAAAAAAGCAGCAATCTGGCATATACCACAGGGATAGACAAATCAGTGTAATACATATAAGTGTGCTTCTTCCCTGGGTTCCCAGCCTCACATATAAGTCAAATGGCAACACACTCACCTGTATGTACAAACATGTGCTTGACGTAATTCTGTTTGGCGGTGAAAGTCTTGTTGCAGAGGGTACACTCATAAGGCTTTTTTTCACCCTGCCCACCTGCTGTGCTGTGGCCTGTAGAAGGAGCCAGGGGCTGAGGGGCTGGCAGCTGGGCAGTAAAAGTTGAAAGGCCAGGCTGGGACACTGTCACAAACTGTGTCTGTTGGCCTAAGGGCTGGGGCAGGCTGAAGAGGAAAGGCTTAGGACCACTGCCAGCAGACTGTGTGGTAAACAGTGCAGGCAGGTAAGTATTGCCAGCTGTGCCAATGACCTGTGTGTTGCTGGTCAGTGTCAGTGGCATCCTCAGATTGCTGGTGAGGGTTTCCGTCTGGCGTAAGTAGAGTTGGGTGCTTGGCAATGCTTGGGCAACAGTTGTAGTGACAGAGGGCTGCAAAGTACCCTTTTCAGTACTGTTACTAACAGTGAGCAGTGTGCTGTCCCTTTCAGTGTCATTGCCTCTCTCTGGTGAGGAAGAGTTGGCATCTGTGTGCTGCTGCTGCTGAGTGCCTTCAGCAGAAGTATCATTTTGTTCTGCTTGGGGAGGCTCTTGTTGACCTTCTCGGCTTAGGCCAGTCATAAATTGCTGCTCTACAGAATCAGGTTCAGTGCCAATAGAGGAACTGACTCCAGAATCAAAGCTCTCCCCCTTGGGCTCACTCTCAGTGCCTTCTGCTTGATCAGTATCCTCAGTGCATTCCTCAGACTCATTGCGCTCTAGGATCTGTACCCTCTGCTGTCCATAGTAGTCATAGTCATCCTCCATTTCTTGCTTGATGTGAATATTTCCCACTAGGGTTTGAATCCGAACTGGACGTGGTTGCTTCCGGCAGTGTGTGGTTTCCGGAGTGGTGGACAGATACCGCTCCATCTGCTGAGAGCGTTCATGGATTCTTGTAATCCAGCTTGGGTCTTCCATATGATGGTCTCTGGAAAGTCCCAGTGCTGTTTCATGGTGGCTGACCACTGCTCCACTGTAGAATGAGCGTTCTCCACTACCATTCTGCATGGAACAGGCATACAGTGCTGAGTAGATCCTGTCTACGCTATGTTGTGAGTGGCTTTGAAGATAGCCAGACTCTGTGTCACTGCTCTGCCCTGAAGTGGCTGATTCAGGCGTTCCTCGCGGTGTCTCCTGAGCAGAATCCTGGGTTACTGGATAGACGTCACCCACATTCTGTGAGACAATCCGTGTGCACTCATCAATCACAGTCTTGATCTGCAGGATGCTGGCTGCTGTGAGAATCTGCAAGGCCTCTGACTGTGAGACCCGCAGCACCCCGCTATACATGAAGTCAATGAGCTTTTGTACTGACTGGACTGACACCACGGAAGGAATTTCAATGTCACTGTAGCCCAGTAAGAGCTTGTCCTGGAAGAAGGGGCTGCCAGCCGCCAACACACAACGGTGGGCGCGCAGCATGCTCCCGTGGATGCGGACCGTCACATCACAGAAGTGGCCACGGTTGCGTTGCTCGTTGAGGGTCTCGAGCACGGAATTGCTGAAGTTGTGGAGATTGATGCTGTGAATGCGCTCTGTCATCCCCTTGCAACTAATGTTACCTGCAGCAATAGAAAAGGCAAAGCAGAAAGACAGATTAGAGTCTGATGACTACATTTCTGATTCCACCCCATCACACACTGAACATATAGAGAAATTAGATCTGGTTTCACATCTCCAATCCACACTAGATTGCAAAATCCTTTGGTTTGGTAGTGCTTGAATTCAGGGTTTTATGGCTCAACTTATTAAAGTATTAGGGGGCATATGTTAAGATACCAGCTCATTTAAGCTATGTGTTGCCTCTTTTATTAAGGTGATAACACAGCCACTGTTAGCTAGCTTCAAACATCTTCCCCTTCACAGTAATGGAAAATCCAGTGTACTACCCAAGCCTCTTCAAAAATTCAGAATGGAGAAGATACATGTTGAGCACACGAAAAAGAGAGAGAATTGAGAAAAGAGGAAAGTGAGAATTGCCTGTGTGATAATTTAATTATGCATGTACAGATCAAAATATTCATTAGCTACAGTTCTGAAATAAATCTTAATGCTGTTCTAAGTAATGGTTTGCTTGCATTTTCTATTATACTAACATACCAGTTTGTAATTAGCAATAAAGATATGGTTCCAGTAACATTATGCCAAAGGTATAGATTCATAGTGTTTTGGGGGAAAATCTAGCTATATTTTTAAGACATTAAAGTTTATGATTGAGTTTACAAAACCTTAAGTACTGTATTTTTCCATCTATAAGACACCCCCATGTATAGGACACACCCCACTTTTCCTACCCATCTGCAGCGAGCAAGGTGCCACCGCGCGTGCCGCCTTGCTGCCCCCCTGGCGCCGCCTCGCCGCCCGCTCGTGCCACCTTTCCGTCCCCCCTCCCGCATGTGCTGCTTCGCCGCCAGTCACACCAGTCCCCCCCCCCCGCCCAAGCGCACCCTCCTCTTGGCTTCAAGTCTCACCTCAGACACCCTTTGGTTTGGGGTTTGGGGTCCATTCGGGTTCGCTCTTGCTGTTGCCTGGCTAGCCCGGTAACATTTATAATTTGTCTTAGAATGACCTTCACTTTTGATATGTGTTGTGAAGACATGCTATGTAAAGATATAACCTTTTATGTTGTTCTGTAATAAATATGTAGTTTCTGAGAGGCTACAATGTATTTATGTAGGCTTGAGCCCTAACTTTATCAAAGACGCATTTAAGAGTACTGCTTAGTGACAAGTTCTGAAGTGGGAAAGAGAGGCAATTGCTTTTAATATTTATAAAAGGGACTTGAATCAGGTAAATTCAATAATGCCTGGTCCAAAAAACATCAGAATCAGACTGGCTGGGAGTTCTACATAGGTGAAAAATGACAGTTGACAGCCAGTGGATAGTTGGGGATTTGGTTAGTCAGGTGATGGCCCTTGAGAGATGGAAGGGATGTTGTGCGGGTTGTGTGTGACAGAAGGATCAGAGAAAGACTGAGGAGAATGTAGATAGCTGGGGCCTGAATATTAGCTTGGGAGTTCCTTAGGGCCTGCTAGAGAATTTCTTAGACCCTGAAATACAAACATTTCTAAAATATAAGAAACCCCATTGGTGGGAATGCTCAGGGAAGAAGCAGTTTCCCTATATAGCAAGCATTTCATAATTTGCCAGTTTTAGCATCAGGAGGTGGACCAGAGGGGGATTTTTGTTCAATTGTTTTTGTTTTACCAAATGCATCTCTGAATAGAAAAAAGATCCATTTATAACCTTTATATTTAAACTATGAAAAGTGTAGGAAGAATGTGTTTTAATATGCTTTAACTGATACACAGATTCTTCTTAATTCACCCACTCACCCACTTAATTGGTAGTGCACAGAAAATCCAGAGCACAGGGGACAAAACTTCTGTCTCATTCTGTTCTCAGACCTGCCACTCTGTTTTAAGTTAATACAGTGGGAAATGTTTCTGTGGAACTGAAGTGGCCTTTTTAAAGCAACTCTCTTGTGCCCAGTGAATATCAATATAGAAATCCCAATGGACTCTGCATGAGAAACTACTATATGAGGGTTTGTTCCTTTTTGTGAAAGCAGGTTGATTCAGAAATGGCACACAAATGAAAGGGTGCAAAAATGCAAACTCTATTCTTACCCAGGCAGACCATGAATGGGCATATAGCCAGAGGGAGGGGTGGATGTACAGACTGCGCACATGTAGCATACTTTTGGAATGGTGACAGGACAAAGGGATTTTATCCTGTGTGTTAGGGTCAGTGAATTGTTTTCATTATCCTTAAAACTTATGTAATTGTCAGGAATATGCATGTACTATCCTATTTTGGAAAGAAATGTCAGGATGTGTCAGATCCTTTATATTGCATAGCAACTCTAAAAGAAGAGGCAGGTACTGAATTCTGAATGGTGGAACAGTTAATTGTAGTGTTTGAGTGTGCATGGAATGTTACTCAGAGCTACACATAGCCTAGTAATTATGATTTACAAGCATGATGAAGGCAGTAGATTCAGAAGCTTGTTAAGATAGAATAGCAGATTTCAATTAATTGGACTTGAGCTCCTGACTTGAGTTTAACTGATTTCCATAACAGATTGTCCTTCCATTAAAAAACACACAACAACACTTGCAAGCCAACAAAGCATAATCTTGGTACAATTATGGCTCTTATTTGTTAAAGACTGCTTTAGTCCATCATATGATTTATTTTAGCATTTATATATTATGGACATTTGCATGCTTTGTTTCCTAAAAAGTCATTAATTAAAAAATATCTTCTGACCCAAACATGTGAACCATGGCACTTATAAAGCACAGTCTAGAAGTGATGAAATAATTGTTGTAATGACCAATATCATTGTAGTTCTAGGAGATCAAATTAGCACAAGATTGTTTTTTCAGTGATATATGAAATCACTGATATATGAGGCACCACAATGTCCTTGTAAATTGTTTTGCAGAATGTAAATTTGTGTGGTGGTATATTTTGTGTGTATGTACATGTACAATAGTTTAGCTGGGTTTACATAACAATGCAAACAAACTGCATAGTTTCCACAGTGCATGAAATTTTGCTTGAACTTACTGGTCAGACAATCATGTGGTTCCCAGGACAATGTGGATTCCATGTTCCCCCTGCTGCTCTTATCATGCATCCTGGCTGCCTCCACAAGTGAAATCTCCTTCCTTACACTAGTAAGAAGGGTGGCTGCTTTCAGTTCTTGTTCTCAAGGACTACTGGCTGGGATTCATCAGAATATGAAGTAAAATGGGAGGGAATGCTCAAACACTGAGATTAGAGAAGCAGAGGAGCTTATCTCAGGGCCAGACTCCCCAGTGGACAGGCAGCTCCTTGGAATAATCAAGATATACAGCTAGTGGGAGGGGACCCTGAACATGAGAATTTTGCAGATACAAACCAGGTAGCCCTCATGATGCAGCATCAGCAGATGAGAGCAGCCCAATTAGAGGACAGGCATGCAGTGAGGTGGCATGCTCACTTTCAGAAAACCCCTCCTGAAGCGAAGGGGGCCAAGCATGCTCAGAGGGAGAGTTCCTGGAAGTGAATACCAGACTGGGTTCAACAAACCACTCTGTGCCTTCTCAGAAATTCATTTTGAGTGATTCGTTCTTTTGGGTCAATAAAGAAAGTTGTGCAAGGAAAACAGTTTGTGGCTTTTGAATGGTTGAAGGAGGAAGCTTGGCTTCCTACAGTTGCTCCCTATAAACATCAGCAGCCTTGCCCTGATGGATCTGCTGAGCTTTTGAAATGGGTTCTCCCTCTTCCCCTTCAGAGTATGCCTGTACCCCTGCAACTTCCTAGCCATTGCATCCCTGAAAGGAAGTTTTTATTAAATCATAACAGACACTATCTCTCCTTCTGTGCATTGATTTGTTTCTGAAAGTAAACTGGAAGATGGATACATCACTCGGTCAACAGAAATAAAAAAGGTGGTGATGCTTCTGTTGCTAGGAAGATAAGGAGAGTAAAAATAGGTAGCAAAGGAACCACTTCAATGGATACTCTTTCCACAGGACAATATATTTTCAGACCAACAATAGTAAAATGGAGATTCTGGGTCTACATAACCTGAGAAGCTGCAGAGAAGCATGGAAACCTTAGAGGAGACCATTAATTCTGTGATTTCAGGAACATAAAGGTACCAAGCAGAAATGCCATGACTCATTTCAGATGACACAGAATAACAATGGTAAAAAAATCATCATGGCTTGTTTTGATGCTTATACCCAGCTTCAACTATTCTAAACCATTTAGGCATCACAGAACTATCAGCTTAAATAAACTCTACTATATGCTCATATTTTATTACAACAGGATTGAATGTGCACATTGCATAATTGAACAGTATTGCTCTAATTTATGCAGTATTTCTCCTGCAACAAATGTGTTATATGTGAATGTCAGACAGGTTTCTTTAAACACCTGTGTACATGTGTCATGGAGCCTATGACCAGGTGTGTGCACAGCTGTTTAAGAATCCATATTTTTCATTCAGGGCAAATGTATCTGCAGCATAAAATTTGGAGCTGTGCCTAGGCTTCCTCATTTGCAACATAAATCTTTAGTAATTGAATAACAATAATTAAGCAAAACTATCTAGCAAATTAACCTTTACTGTAGCAAATGTTTATCATATTACATTAAATATGAGTTCTTATTACCTTAGTTTTAAATATGGTAGAAAAATGAAAAGGCTGGTCTTCCTCCAAACTCATCCCAATAAATCCCAACTAATTTGTGGATTCACACTATCTGAAACAAAGACTATGCAGAACACAGCCTCCAACTGATTTGAGGGAGTAGAATTTAAAGTAGGGTCGTAAGATTAAACCATGGCTCATAAATCCTAAACTTTAAATTTAAATCCTGAACTCTAAGCAAGCTTGGAGTAACAGTTTGTGTCTCTATCAGGATCTTATCTTTTGAGGGCAAGCTAGTAGAATAATGTTTGTTGATCAAATGTTATATTCTATAGATTTATACATTATATACATACTGAAGAATGGACTGCAACACTGCAGGAACTAGAAACAGCTAGAGAGAAGGAAGT